AAAAAAAAAAAAAAAAAGAAATCCCTGAGCCCTAAGGATTGAGGCCTTTGCCTCACAAGGGTATGGGAGCCCAGGGCTGGGCAGGGCAGAGTGAGAGCATGACCTACTTGGAGGTGACACGGCCCCAGTGTGACACCCCAGCTCAGTCGCCACTCACGAGGAACACCAGGCCCGAAGGGACGCAGTGCCTAGCTCTGCTCTTCAACGAGTTCCAGAGCTCAACATTTCAGGCAGGGGCAGCCCCGACAGCTCATTTCACACATGCCCAGCTGCCCAGCATCTTGAGGGTCCTAGGCTCCCGGTGAGCTGCCTGCTGTCACTTCGGCCCTGGCCCCCCACTGAGGATGTGGCCAGAGATGGGATGGACTGATCAGATGTACCTTGAAGGCAGGGTTCTGCCCTGTGCCTGCTCACCCCAGGCCTGGCCACACCAACACCCAGCCGGCAGGTGTCCACCTACACTGGCTGAGTCCTCGGGCCTCCACGGAAGGCCCAGACTGGGTACCCTGAGATCAGGAAATGCCTCCAAAAGTCGAGGAGGTGCTGCATCCGCCACAGTGGTAGCCTAGAGGCTTCGTGATTCGGGCTTTCAGACAAGCCCCACCAGGTCCTCTTCCCAGAGCCCACACAGGCTCAGGACGGCGTGCTCTCAGCAGCCCACCCGGGGGCTCCAAGGGGGCCTGCAAGGAGCCCAGAGTGCGGTCGAGGGAGCAGGCCACAAAGGGCTACCTGCACGCTGGCCACGCTTCTCAGGACAGCTCAATGGAGAGTGCCCAGGGCCCTGCCTCGGCCTCCAGACGTGCCTCAGCTGAACAGGGACCAGGGCCAGCTCAGCACCATGGACAGCAGCAGCCACCAGCCTGCGCTGGGGAACAACAGCCTTGCCTCCTCCTGGGGCCACCATCTGTGGTGGCCAGGGGTGGTGGTGCCAGCTCCCCTGGGATCCCCTCTGCGCCAGGGGAGTCACTAGTCGGGTGGCCCCATCACCCCCTTTGTCCCTGTCCCCAGGGCAGAGCCCTGGCTGCTGCATGCCCTACACCCATGGCTTAGCGTGAAGGTCAGGACCCCAGGGACAGGCTGTGTGCCCACACTAAGGCTGGGATGAGGCCAGCATGGCATGAAGGGCCCAGCTAAAGCCACAGGCACTGGGACCCAGCAACACCAGATGAAGCCCCGGGTGGCCTGGTGCAAGGTGTGAGGGTAGCCCCAAGTCTGGGGGTGCCCACTCACTGTACCCAGGACAGCCGTGAGGGGGACAGGCTGCAGCTCAAAGGGTCCCCGTGGGACAGAGTCTGGGCTGGTGGCCCTTCCAGGGCCTGTGGCTAAGCTGGGCAGAGATGCAGCCCTTCCAGAGTGGCTATGTGCCAGGGTGAGCCACTCGCCAATGAGCAGGAACAAAAATGCTCGGACAGTGAGGCCCTCAGGGGGCCTGAGCCCAACCCTAGAACGCCCCTGACAGTCACGTGGTATCTCTTCTTTCCACAAAGGGAAGCCACCGCTGTTGAACATGTACCTCGGCCAAGCCTGCCTCGGTGCCCACCCAGCACACTCTTTGGCAATTAGGCCCCACTGGGTCCAGCCCACTTCCAGCCTTATCTTAGGTTTGATGAAATTAGCCTCAAGCCAAGTGTTTATCCACCATGCACGTCTCTGATTCGGCCGTGCCAGGCAATGGGAGCTGTTTCCAGATTTCTCTACAGTGAAGCTGATGCCACTTCTCAGAGCCCCTCCAGCCTGGCTGCAGGCTCCTTCTTCCCTCGACTCTGCAGGGCCGACAGAGGATGCAGCACAGATGGGCGGGGAGGCCCAGCACTCTGAAACTGGGGCCATCTCCACCTGGCCTGACCACCAAAGGCCAGGGCCACTGGGCCTCCACTGCATAGGGCTGGAGTGCCAGACCTGTGACGTGACAGCAACAGCTGCCCTGCCATTCCTCTCCAGAGCCAGCCCCGCAGCCTGGTCCTGCCTCCGCCTGCCTAGGGTTCCCTTAGGGAGGTCTGGTTGGACCTTCAGGCCCCAGAAGCCATGCACTCTTGCTGGATTCAGTGAGGGGCATCTGTCTCCTCCCACTCAGAGGCCACTCTGGAGCCCGCACCCTAAGCCAGCCTGCTGCCCGGGCCCTGGCACAGTCTCAACTCTGTGGAGGGGCCTGCTGGCCCCAGAGCTGCCCCTGAGCCCAGAATGTGGCTGGGGATGGCCCTAGGCAGGCAGGGAGAGGGGGTGCAGACGTGCAGACTCAGCCACCTGCCAGCCGCCACAGCCCAGGCAGACTGTCTCCCCACTGGGGCCTTCACGAGCCCCGGACAGTCCCCAGAGTGTCTGCGAGCACCCAGCCCCTAACTCACGCACAAACCCCGTGCTGTGAACAGTCCAGCCTCCCTCACTCCAGCCAGGCATGACCAGCCATCTACAGTGAGAACAGGCAGGAGCAGGCAGGAGCTGACAGGGGCTGGACATGGCGGAGCTGTCAGACTGTGAGCATGTGTGTGTGTGTGCACGCGTGTGCATGTGCGTGCCTGTGTGCATATGTGTGTGTGCACATGTGTGTGCACGTATTTATGCACGTGCATGTATGTGTGTGCACCTGTGTGTGTGTCAGAGACCCCGGGGCCTGGCGCTTGCGCCCACAGAACCCACTTTCCAAGCTGCAGCAAAGCAGCAAGGCCCTAGGGCCTGGTTTGCTGGCTCAGCCGGCGCCGCCCGGAACCAGGACCTGCTGACGGGCAGAGTTTCTCTCCCCCGGCCCAGCAGGCGTTCCGGAAACAGAAACTAATTACAGACGATAAAGGCCGCAGCTCAGCTGAAGGCTGCATTTTCATAACTCCTAACATCAGGGTGGCTGGGCGAGGGCCACACGGGGAAAGTAACAAGAAACTGGACCCCGCCAGGGCTGGGGTGCTCCCCTCGAGGCTCGCCTTACCCTGAACATCTGCTTCACCCTCTGCCGGGGCAGGTTCACGTTGAGCTTGTGCAGCAGCTGCAGGACCTCGCCGATGCTCAGGCTGCCATCCCCATTCTTGTCGGCCTCATCAAACGTCTGCTTCAGCCACTTTGGTGCCGAGTTAGGGGCCAACAGGGATCCACGGGTCCAGCTCCACCGCCCCCACCCTCTGGCCTAGGGAGGAAGGAATAGGGGACCCCAGCCTACTGGCCGCTTCCCCAACATGTGACCCGGCAAAGGGCAGGGGCCCTCCCAGGGTGGGCAGCCAAGGGGCCGGTCCCTGGGTCTGCCCTGCCTGCTCAGTGCCCAAGGATATTGGTCCCTGGTGCGCTGGCGGCGAGCCAGGCTGTCCTCGTCGCTGATGCCGGCCATGAGGTAGCGCAGGCCAGTGACCCAGGTGCGCGCCACCTCGCTGCTGGTGGAGACCAGGTCCAGCGACTCGCGGTGGCTGCCGTGGTAGATACTGAAGCAGCAGTTGGGGTCAAAGCTGCCGTCGGGGTAGCGCTGGAAGACCTCCGACTGCCGCCCCTCACTCACCTCCTGGATGGAGTCGATGGAGACTGCGGGGTTGGGGGGGGAGCACAGGTCAGGCCAGCCGGGGCCCAGCGTCCTCCTGCCGGCAGCCCCAACACAGCAGTGACCAAGCAGCTGGGAGCTCCTTGCCCACCTATGCGGGACCCTCAGCAGGGCCCAGGGTCCAGGGTTCAAGAACAAAGGGTGAAGATCTGCGAGACTGCACAGCCCCCCACTGCTGACCCGTGTCCCTCCGCCTTTCCCTTTCCTGTGGAAAAGACACAGCCCCCATGAAGGAAAGCGTCCGCCTCCCCCCACCTGCAGCCCCTGGTGCCCGGCTGGCGCAGGGCTCCACGTTTAACCAGCACGTCTCCACGTTCCAAGGAAGCCCCGGGCACCTCCAGTGCCACAGGTGGGGACAGCGGCTCCAGGGACCCCCACCTCTGTGCTCAGGTGCATCGAGGCTGTCATGACCTCAGGACCGCCTGGGGGCTCCGCAGCGCGGCTCTCTCCAGGGGCCCAAAGTGGCTACATGCTTGGCAATTGCTGGGCTGAGGCCTTGCCGGGCATGCCTGGGTCCTGCCCATCAGCAAAGCCCACGGAGACCCTGGCTGCACCCTTATCCCAGCCTTTGAGGACTCTGCCATGTCTCTCCCCAAACTGTGGGACTCCACCCCGTTCCCCGTGTGCCTCAACCCTGCCCGCGCACCCCTGCACAGAGCCTCCATCTCCGGTGGCCCCTGCTCCCTGCAGCGGCCCTGCCCAGTGGCTGCCTGGGCCACCCATCAGCATACCCCTGTGGGGTTCGTTTCTGTTTATGGGGAGCTGTAACCTCCCCAGCTAGACGGACAATGCTGTGCTCCTCCTCCCAGCCCAGCACTCAGCACAGGGCTGGGCGCAGCGCTACTTGCTCCTCACTGAGTCCCAGGGAGCTCTGCCAGGCGGGACCTGGATCCCTCCCACCCCACAGCCCAGAGGTCACTGTGGATCCCCAAGGTCACTGAGCCCCGAGGTGTCCAGGCCTAGGGTCTCGCTGCTCCTCAGCCATCAGTGGCTGCCCTGGGAAGGTCCCTACCCTCGTGTCCCCCCGGGGACTCTGACCTGCCCCCCTCCCCAGGGCTCCTACTCACTCTTGGCCTTCTCATTCTTGCGTGAGGGCCTCCAGCGGATGCAGGAGCGGTGCTCATCCAGGTAGTAGAAGCGGACCAGGCCCTTGGAGCCGCCACGCAGCTTCACCATCTGCATCCCCTCCTGCATGGCACCCATGCACCGCTCCACTGGACATGAGAGAGACACGGCCGTCAGCAGAGGCACGACCACTCCTCACGGGAGAGACACAGCCATCAGCGGAGGCACGGCCACACCTCACAGGAGACACACGGCCATCAACGGAGGCACAGCCACACCTCACCTCGCCCGGCCCCACCCACACCACCCTGCCAGCAACAAGGCAAAGGCCAGAGCCCAGGGCCACCTCCACCCCAGGTGCCGGCTTGCCTGGGTCATACAACCCAGCTGGGCCCCGCCACTCCTCCCCAGATGGTCCTGGGGACTGAGGACCCTGCTCCCCACCCTGCTTAGCCACCTGCCGCTCCCAACACCTCCTGGACCAGTCCCAGCAGCCCTGGGAACCGGTGCTGGGTCTGGGGCCCCCAGAGCTACCACTCAGACGGAGCCAGCACTGAACTCAACAGTGGGAAGGCTGGGCGCAAGGCAAGACAGACGAGGTGGCTGGGCCTGCTGTCTGGGGCCACAGTGAGGTGGAGGCCCCTTGCCAGGCACAGGGTGGGCCTAACAGGCAGCAACCCATGCCCCCGCCCCTGCCCACAGTCACAGGCCACTTCTGGGAGCAAACAGTCACATTCCTGAGTGACTATGCCCCTGCCTGGGGTGTCTCCAGGAAAGCCCTCACCCCTCATGTGCAACAAGGGCCACGAATGGTGCCACAAATGTCCACGTCCCAGGCCCCACACAGCAGTATGGACTTGGGAGGCTGTGGTGCCGGATCCGAGCTTCACAACCCCTCCCCTCCCTCAGGCCGCCTGCCTCGTTCCTTCTCTCCCCTCCTCTGCCCATTCAGCCTCCTGCTGTAGCTTGTCCCAGGGGAGGGGGCTGCAGGTTCCAGGGAGTCCAGGCCAGAGTCAGCTGTCCCACCCCCTCGGTTCCTGTGCACCTGCTCACAGAAAGCCTGGGTCCCAGAGGTACCATCTGCTAAAGCACAGAGACGTTAATCCCACCCCAGGTCTGCACACTGAGGGACCCTGGCAGGGTGTTGTGGAGGACCAAGGGCAGTACTGGCCAGGCCTCCCTGGGGAAGCTACTACATGATCACAAGCAGAGGGGAACTGAAGGGATGGAAGGCATGGCACAGGGGGCTGGGCCCTTCGGGGCACACGGCAGGTGAAGACACAGGTATGGCTGCAGGGATTCAGGAGAGGGGTGAGGCAGGACACGGGGGCGGGGGGTGGGCAGAGGCCTGCAACAGGGCAGCCTGGATGGGACCCCGTCTGCCGCTGGAGCAGAGAGCTGGCAGGCCAGCATGGACCAGGGCCCTCCACAGGCCACCACAAGACACACACTCCCCCCTCGCAGCCATGCCCAGCCAGTCTCCTCTGCAGAGTCTCCTAACAGCTAGGGCCCCTATGTCCAGCGCCAGCCCAGCTGCCTGGGCTGCAAGCACCAGTGACCCCAGAGCACAAGGGACCCCATTGATGAGAGCATTGGAGCCACCTGAGATCTCCCCCTGCCCCTTGGGTTCAGCCCCCAGGCCCCGCAGGTGCCTGGGAGACCAAGGTGTGCGGAGCATGCCTCTGAGCGGCTGAAGGGCAGGGCCGGCCGACGCTGCTGGACCCACATGACCCCTAGAGCACCCAGGGGGATGGGAGAGGCGAGTGCAGGGATGGGATGGAGGCCCAGGCTTCCCCCACCTCCAGGGGCAGCCCCCACCCGCCAGGCACCTGGACAGGGCCAGCACTCATTCCGGGTCACTCCCCTGCCCCTTCTTACCCAGAGGGCCGAGCTGCCACTGTGAAGACAGCGCCACACTCCCTCCAACCCAGAGGAGTACCTCTGCCAGCCAGGCCACCGTTCCCTTGGTCCGGCTCTCAGGGGAGGGCCAGGGGCCAGACATGTCCTGATGACAGCCGGGCGGTTCACGGAGGCCACAGAGGCCTCCCCCGGCCCTCAGGCAGCAGAGGTCAGGCACTGGCAGTGCTGGCGGCAGGACCTCTGTGGGGCCTTCTCTCCTCCGCCTCTTCCTCCTCCTCCTCCTCAGGGCCCTCTGAAGCCCGCACAGGGCTGTGCTCGGGCCCGGCTGGCATTGGCCTGACCGTCACCTGCTGGCCTGATGGCCCCCAGGCCAGCCTACCCACCCTCCAGGGCCACCAAGGAGTCCCTGACGCAGCCGCCTCCCAAGGCCCCGCCCAGCCCCGGGCCCAATCCCTGTGCTAATCCCAGCTCCAGCCCAGCTGGCAGAGGATTTAGGCCGAGGGAACTCCCAGCTGGGGACAGGAGGGCACTGTGGAGGCAACAGTGTTTCCCAAGGCCCAGACTACCAGACCCACACCAGGGCTGCGGGACAAGAGCAGGACCAACGGGGGTCCTCCTGGGACCCAGAGGGTGCAACTGGAAGGCCTGCAGGGCACCATCCTCAGAGGACCCTGTGTGGGGTGGGCCTCCCCGCTGTGTGCCCACCACGGATGCCGAGGCTGGGCCTGGAGTGGTCCCTGCCCTCACCCCGCATCCCTACTTATGGGGACCTCTGAGTGGATCCCCAAAGTCCAGAGGCAGGCGGCTCAGAGCAGGGGCAGAAGCTCACCTCATCCCCACAGCGCCCAGCCCGGTGGCCGCAGAGGGGAGCCGAGCTGGAGCCCTTTCAGCAGCAACTCCCAGCCCAGGCCCAGGACGTGGGTCCCTGAGCCTGGGTTGGGGTCTCCGTGTCTCCCTCATGCAGCTGCAGCCCCAGCCTGACCTTTCTCCCCGGTCACCGAGCCGTGGCAGAAGAGGTGGCCCCATGCCCAGGGCACGTTTGTCCCCACATTCTGCCCTACAAGGATGACAGTTGTCTGACCTGGAGAAGGTCCGCACCCAAGGAGGACCCACCCCACTGTCTCAGCTCCCACTGAGGTAAGGACTCAGGTCCCACTGCCACCAGTACCACACAGCCCACCCTGTTTACTGGCCCAGCACTGCAGAACGGCACAGGCTCTCCCATCCCTGAGTCCAGGCCGGGACACCAGCACTGCAGGACGGCACAGGCTCTCCCATCCCTGAGTCCAGGCCGGGACACCAGGGGCAGCTGTGGGAATGGGAGGTGGCAGACCCCGGCTGAACACCAGCCACCTGTGTCCTGGCCATGCCCGTGCTTCATGACTACGCTGGGGGGAACCCCGCCCTTCTTCCCACCTACTGCCCAGGCTCTATTGGCTCCAGCAACAAGGACTGCAAGGTCCCGGGCAGTTGCCCTCCTCCCCTGACACCAGGGGAGGAGTTTGGCCTGCAGAACCCAGGACAGGGAGGTGCCAGGGCTGGGCATCTTGGCAGAGCTCCGGGGCCAAGGTCAGGCGTGGGAGGTGGCAGTCCCTGAGGAGATGGCCATGCATCTCTGGCTGACCACTGACGACCGGGGCCACACCCAGCCAGATCAGATGCAATCAGTGCAGAGTGAACCCAGGCCCCACCAGGGGCCCCGTCACAGGCTCTGCTGCTGTTGGCGGAAGCAGGTCAGCAGGCGTTTCTGGGCTCTGCCGTGGAATTAGATTAGGGAGTCATGAGCCGTGGAGAGAGGAGAGGGGCTGGAGTCCCGGGCGTCCTCAGGAAGACAGGGCCTCGGGGCACAGCCACCGTGTAAGGGGCAACACAGGGGCCAGGAGGTGGCCCGAGGGCCTGGAGACAGACCAGACGGCCACAGCCCTGGCCCAGGGCCCCTGCCCACCCCACACTGGGCTGCTGCGGGCTTCCACTCTGACACAGGGGTCCAGTTCTCCTTCCTGCACCTCAGAGGCCTCCTGGCCTGCGACACACCTGCTCTTCCCTCACCCTGGGCCTGCCCCGGTTGGGGGTGCTCCCGCCTGTCACCCGTCCCTCCTCGAAGCTCCCCAAGGCTGGGCCTCTGCCCCCTCCCTCTCTCCCTTAAGCTCTCAGCCACTAGCTGATCCCCCATCAGCTGGGGTTAGGGCGCGGAGGCCCCCATCTGCCTGAGCAGGGGTCCTGAGAGGGGCCACGCATAGAGTGCCTGGCCCCAGCCCCCCAGCGTGGGGCCCAGGCTCCTGCACCCCAGGTCCCCTGACCTCCTCAGCAGCCGAGACGGGCTCCTCCACTGACCAGGCAGGTGGAGGCCCGGCTAATCCTTCCTGACGCAGGCCTCTGCCGGGGGCTGCCCTGCCTGCCCTGAGGACCAAAGGGACCGCCCACTCCCCTCCAAAACTCAGGCAGACAGAAAACTGCAGCTGCAGAGTGAAGCCAGGGGGGCCCCAGGCCAAGAGACGTGGCAGGGGCCCAGGCCCAGGGACTTAAAACCCCTCCCCACGTGCTGCCTATGAACCAGCCCAGGGCCCAGCCCGGCCCCACACAAGGTCAGGGAGGGGGTGCCCCACCCCCATGCCGGCAGGCGAGCCCAGCCCCACAGCCTGCACTGGCCGGCCCCCATGCTCACCCTGCCTGCCCTGAGCCAGGGGCCGGCCATCCTGAAAGCCCACAGGGAAGTTGAGGAAGCCATGCTCTGCTCTGCAGTTCCACACAGGGGCCCAGCCCTCAGCCATGGTCCACACCCACCCCAGGCCGCTCGGCCCCTCCCGTCAGCCTGAGCCAGGACACCTGATGTGGGAGCTCAAGTGGGCTTGAAGCAATGCACCTGACTGTGGGCCCGTGCCGGGGGCCGGACTGGGAGGGGTCAGCAGTCCTGGTCAGGGGCAGATACAGGCTCCGTCGGGTAGAGGAGGGCCCTGGCTCACCTGCTGCTCCCCCAGGTACCTGCACACCACAGTGGGGCTCCCCAGTCTCAGAGCACTGCCTGACCCTGAGACATCCCTGGGGCAGGGACCTCAAGTCCTTCTCCTTGCTCTGCCCCTGTGAGGCCATGACCCAGCACACAGCAGGCACTGGCTGGACACAGGTGGACAAGGAGGGACGGGCAAGACAGAGGCGGCTAAGGCCACCAGGCCTGCGCTGAGGAGATGACAGGAGCCAGCATCCACACTGGTGTCCTGGGTGCAGCTCTCCAGGGTCTGGTTGGCTTCAGCCCTGGGCCTGGAGAAGCGTCCCACACAGATGCACCCAG